CCTTCGGGGAGGGTTGACAAAACTCACTCAGATTTATGATCTGATGGTTGATTATTCTTCATAGAAGACTGATCCGGTTTTTGGTGATGGAACAGAGCCGATGAAAATGCCTGGTCGATTAGGTTAATTGCCTGAAGAGTTCCATTCCAAGCCGAGGGTTTCCTTGCCCCAGGTTTCCTGTTCATTAGGCCTGGGGGTATAAGAAGGTAGGGCAGCAATTGGCGAACAATGCCCTGTAGATAGAGTGACTCTGCTTGACGTGACTGCAAGGCTGGATGGAGGTGGTCAGCGGAGAAAAGACGTTGAAGAACCACGTCATCAGCTAGAGGTGGTTTAAGAGGTTCCTCATCTCCATCAGAGGGGATAATTGATCCGAAGAATGCTAAAAGAGAGCAAAGGCAATACGGGATTTGATTGAGAGAAAACGATCTGGAAGAGGAATGAAAAACAATAGCAAGCGCGATTTCAATACAAGAAACAGGGAGCACACGCGGCAAGCAAGGTATGAAACAACCGCATGACAGCAATCTAACCAAACAGAATAGTAGCAATCGTGAGGGGCATAGAAAAGTTGGGGCAGCTAGCTTACCATCTAAGTGACTGAAAACTGTAAAAAAACTATCAGTCAAAAAAATTAGCGAACAACTTTTGATGATAAGTCTACGAGACAATGAGTATGACTAACCGTTTGTAAGAGTCAGTAGGTGTTCCACGTGGTGAACAACACAGGGGAGGAGTTTCTGCTCGATTAGACTAGAAATATCAACCTACCAAGTTCGAGAATAAAGCACACCTTACCGCTTTTAATCGCAGAAGAAAGACGCTACAAATGTGCTGCAACTGAGCTTTTATATCAGCAGTAAACTTTTCGTCATCAGTTAGTTGCCTATAAGCAAAAGTGGGAACAGAAGATTTAAGCTTTGCTAAACAAACAAGATCGTATATACGATAAGAATAAGAGACTCACGAGAACCAACAAAGAATAAAGCGTTCAATGATGAGATCAAAAATCTAAAGCTTCATTTTAAGAGAGGAATTAACATTACATTCTGAAGGTTTTCGTCGGCATGAAGTGGTAATTTTGGTATACGTGGATCAAAATACGAACGAGAATATCTGAAAATAAAATGAACCTCAGGAATCTTACGCTATCACTCCACAATTACAGGAGTTTTGGAGTGCCGAAAATTTAGGAGAAAAGAGAGTTGACTGCAACCTGTTATTTGAACCTAGATGCCCGCATTTCGAGTGTCTATCCAATTTTGCCCTTAAGATGTATAATGAGAGTAATATTGACAAACCTTAAAAGATTACTGAGAATAAAGCCAAAGTAAAAGCAGAATAAAACCAGTGGAATGAGTAGAAACATATCAGCACATTTTCATTGCTATCACTACACCAAGAGCTTCAACTGAATTACGAAGGGCAAGCTCAAGCCTAGATGTGCATAGCCCTGTTGTTATGTATCGAGCGGTTGACCAAAAGTAACTTAAAGCAACATATCCTACAAAAGTGAAAACTTAAAATTGACTTATGAATTAAGCGTTTGTCCGTCATCTACATTTAGCATTTATAGTGTTTTGCAATTTCGCTTGCGGTTCAAAATTTTAGCCTTAAAATTATTTTTTGAGCCAATTGTTGCACAAGTTAAAGCAAGTCCTGCTGTGTTTAGTCGTGATGCTCACTCCTTCTAACGTCAAGCATTCCAATATTTTGCATCAGTAAGAGCAGTTGGAAAGATTCGTCCTCATATTTATCCAT